ATGTAAATCATCCCCCACTAACAAATCCACAACTGAAGCACGATCCACACAAGTATTGATAATGGAAATTGCTTGGGAGGAGTCACTTTCGACTTGAACCTTTTGATAGCCAAGTTGTTGAGCCAACTCCACTCCATGCTTAATTGCTAGCAACTCAGCTTGGAGAGCCGAGGAAACAAAGGGAAGAAAGCATGTCGTTGTTGCCACAAAAGCTCCATGTGCGTCACGGTTTACCACACCAGCCCCACCCCCCTTAACCTGCAATTTAGTAGCTCCGTCCACATTCACTCTCACCCAATCCTCCCGCACCACCCTAGGCATCAAACCACTTCCTCCCTCTACTGAGTATGAGGCGTCTGTTATTGAGCAGTAAGTACAAGATTTGCTGCAGCCTAGAATTCCTGTAGCCATGCCACAACGCGTTGCACCACAACCCTTGGGGCCTCTTGCTTCCACTCCAAATTCAATCATTCCTCACCTGCCAAAGATGCCAAACCACCATACAAATGAAATCGAAAGCAGAATGATTAGTTTGTAACAACAATAAAAACCACTCATTGACTAATCCGTAAAGGACGGAATCAACCAGAAAGCTGCATAGGGCCGCAAACCATGTAGCTATAGCAAAATGACACTCCTTGAGAACATGCACCACCATCTCCAGTGCTCCATATCTGAAAATGCATGTCAAATCCAATGTACTCCTTTCTTAGACAAATTCTCTTTTGTCAGGAGAATATTATGACAAGTCCTCTACACCATATTCTGCACTTTTGGTGGGACTTTGGCATTCCATATTGCTTTCCATAAAGGAGTAAACGGATTACCTCCAGAAGCTGAAGAAGACACACTTAGTGACGATGGTTTAATAGAATCCCATGCAACCCAATAAGCACTATTGACTGTGAAAATACCCCGGTCATTATAATGCCAAATTAATTTATTAGACGGAAGCCGATAACTAATGGGCAAAGCACGAATATGCTCCATGTCTTCTTCCTAAAAAAACTCAGTCAACTTAGCGTCATACCACACTTTCCTTTCCACATCAATAAGCTCATGAACCCTCATTTCCTCCCGAGATGGAAGCGGCATCGTTATGGGATGAAAGGTCAAGGGTCATGGCACCCACCTATCCCTCCATACCCGCATTGAAGCCCCATCCCCAATCAGCCATCTTGAGCCATTCTCCAACATCATTCTAGCTTTGAGTATGCTAGACCAACAATATGAAGAAGATGAGGGAACAAAGGGTGTCCCAAAAGGAAGTATTGGGGAAATACCTGGCCTTAAATAGCCTTGTTGTTAAGGACTTTGGGTTTTCGACAATTCACCAACCTTGTTTTGCCAATACCTCCAAGTTAAAAGCATAAAGATTATGGAACCCCATACCACCTTCCGGTTTAGCAATGCACAACTTATCCCATGATTTCCAATGAATCTTCCTCGAGTCCGGATAACTGCCCCACCAAAACCAAGCCATTAACTGATGTAACTCATCACAAAAAGTCTTTGGAAGCATAAAACAATTCATAGCATATGTAGGCAGTGCCTAAGCCACCACTTTCACGAGCAATTCACGTCCCACTTCACTTAAGTATTTCCCTTTCCACCCATTTAACCTCTTGTGGACTTGTTCTTTGATATAAGCATAAGTTTGGCGTTTATTCTTACCCACGAACGTAGGGTGGCCCAAATAATGCACATGTCATTCCACCAATTGGACCCCCAAAAAATTGGCAAGCCCTTGCTACTCTCGGCCATGCACGTTAGCACTGAACATAATATTACTCTTCCCTAAGTTTATTTCCTGCCCTGACACTTGGGAGAAAACATCAAAAATATGTTGGACCTCAGCGCATTCATCCAGATTGGCTTTACCAAACAAGAAACTGTCGTCAACAAACAATAAGTGATGGATACTAGGCGCATCATCACAAATCCGAATCCCGATAAGAACTCCCATTTACTCAATATGCGCAATAAGTGCCGACAAACCCTCAATGCAAAGGAGGAATAAATAGGGAGATAACGGACCACCCTGACATAGACCATGAGAAGGCTCCACATACCCATATGTTTCCCCATTGACCAAAAAGGAGTACGACACAGATTTCACACACATCATCACCACCGACACCCATAGACTATTAAACCTCAACTTCAACGTCACAGCTTCCAAAAAGTTCGACTCCACCCTATCATAGGCCTTACTAAGATCCACTTTAATAGCAAAATAACCTTCATAACCTGACCGTTTATTATGAAGATAATGACCTACTTCCAACGCTACCAAAGTATTATCAGAAATCAACCTCCTTGGGACAAAAGCACTCTAATACGGAGAAATTATTATATTAAAAAATTTTGTCAAACGATTTGCAGTCACCTTTTCCCCGATCTTATATATGACATTACATAACTAATCGGTCGCAACTGTGACATCTCCTACGACTGATTCACCTTAGGAATCAAGACTACATAAGTGAAACAAACCTCCCGTAGCAATCTTCCAAATGTGAGAAAAGAGCGAACAACATTCACCACATCATGCTTTACAACATGCCAGAACTTCTAAAAAAAATAGGGGTGACATACCGTCCGGTCCCGGAGCTTTAGACGGGTGCATTTAGAAGAGTGCAAACTGGATCTTCTCCTTCGAGTAAAGTCTCAACATCTCCTTATTCATTTCAGAAGTAACAAGTCGTGAACATGCCCCTATAACCTCTTACACCGCACGGTCTAGGACGCCCCGAGAATGAAAAATATTCTGAAAATACCCCACTACCGTGCCTTTAATGCCAACCCTCGAATCCTACCATACCCCATTCACATCCCTCAACCCTTTTATATTATTTTTTCGTTTACGGTTTAACGCCTGCAAATGAAACAACTTTATATTCCTGTCCCCCTCCTGTAACCACTGGACACGCGACCGTTGTCTCCAATACGTCTCCTCCCTTCCTAAAAGTGAGTTAAGTTAACCCATCAATTCACCCCTTGCTTCATAGACTTCGGCCGAAGGTGGGTGTTCAAACAACACCCCTAACTTATCCTGAACCTTTGCAATCTCAACCTTCATGGATCCAAAAACCTTCTTCTGCCATGTGAGCAAAGCACAACGGGTAAACTGTATCTTTTCACACACTTGGAAAAGAGGAAGTCCCACCACCAGTTTACTCCATGCCGAGATAATAATCCCTTCACAACTATCCTCTCGAAGCCACATCTCCTCAAAGTGAAACCTTTTACTCTTCCTCCTACTAGATTACTCAACCGAACTCCGAATCTCTACCAGAATAGGGAGAAGATCCGACTTGGAAGGGTTGAGGTGGCAAACCCTTGTCACAGGAAACAAGTTAAGCCACGGTTGAGAAGCGAAAGCCCGGTCAAGTCTATATCTAACCTTATCCTCCCTATTATCCGTCCATGTATACGAGCTCCCCATAAACCCCAAGTCAATCAACTAACAAGCATGAACCACCTCCCTAAACCTATCCATTTGACTTTCCCGATGTTGATTGCCACCCAACTACTCCTCAGCACTATGAAATTCATTGAAATCCCTCATACAAATCCACGACAAAGCATTTCGTTGACCCAAATTAGCAAGTAAGGACCATGATAAATGCATTATTCGTCATGACCGGATTTCCATAGAAACCCGTTAACCTCCACCTCTACTTCGACCCTTCTAACCTACATTCCATATCAATATGGTTCACTGAAGAAGATAAAATCCCAATCTCAACCTCGTCCAACCATAACACCGCCAACCCCCCAACCTCCCATTACTTGATACTGCAAAGGATTTGTCAAAACCTTAACTACGCTGCTTCTGTATAATCACAGTCTCACTACATTTTGTCTCACATAAGAAGACAACCAGGGGACGATGATGTTGTATGAGCCTCAACAGGGCCTGAATTGCACGAGAATCTCCCAATCTTTGGCATTTCCAACATTGTGAACGACGGGTGTGCTTACTAGCACACTCCACGGTGGGTGTGCTCGCTGTGGATATTAATCATATTAACCACGAGTATCACACGTGGTGACTTAGTATATTTACAACATGCAACTTTGCATGTGTTTATTAATTACTATTTTACCACGGACTAAAATTTGCATGTGATAAAAAATTGTTATTCACCACGTGCTCACTATGCCCGTGGTAAATTTGTATTTTTTACAATGGACTCTTAATGCCCGTGATCAAATTTTCGTGGTAGATGAGATGTTGTCTTGTAATGCCGGTGTGTGAGAGTTCAACCTTCTAATTTCAGTTCATTCAAGATGGTTTCTTCAGTTTTTCCACACCCTAGCTGCCGCCGATCCTAGTTGTGGCTGCCATCTTCCACCGCAACATCTTCGATGGGATTGGTTTCCTCAGCATTTGAATTTTGATCTGGAAGCTCCTCGGGTTAATCGATATAGTTTATGAATTTATCGAGCTTAAGATGTCCATCTATAATCGACTTAACTCATTTGTGCTTATTAGTCTATTTTAATGTTGGATCAAATGGGACAATTTATAATAAAAAATGCTAGAGGAATCAATGTATAAATTATTTTTGTAAACCACATACGGTTGATAATTATGCACTTTTTTTTAATAGAAAAAATTGTAGTAACGCTCTTTCAATTTTAACTCAATTGGAACAATAGTTCATCAACTAAAAATCAAGGTTCTAAAAAACGTTAGGTGCTAGTCGGGCGGCAGGCTGGCGCCTAGGCGGGGTCTAGGCGGCCTAAGCGGATTTTAGGTAAATTTCTTGTATATCTTGTAAATAAGTGCATATTGACACTTACAAAAAATTATACTTGTATGAAATCCATGGATAAGATAATAAAAGAATGATAAAATGCAAAAAGAGTATCCAACAAGTCCAAAATTTAAAAACACATTAAGCATATATGCTATATAACCATAGTGAGGAGTATTGTAGGATGACACATGTACAAAAAGTTCACAATTTAAAACCACATAAAATGCAAAATGGGAGGAAAATAAGGAAATATAGTAATGTAAGATACTTATCTTTAGCATCCCGGAATTTAAGTTGATACACCTATTCTATAAAATTAACAAAATTTCAAGGTATAAACATAGATTCATGTAGTACCAACTGTGAATGAAAATGTCTGGACCTGAGGGTGATGGAGCGGTAAGAGCTTTCAAAGCCTCATTCCTTGTGTTGTCATCTTTAGCAACCCCCAACATATTCACGAGCTCTTGAGCACCACCCATCTCCACAATTTTCATTCTCCTTTCATCTGTAAATCAAGAGAAGACATAAAAATTTACAACCTGATTTCACAGCTGGAGATCAGAGAAATGAAACAAGCACTTATATGTTACGCAGCTCAAACACAAGAAAGTTTCTGAAGTGAATTGATTTACCAACAAGGCAACCAGCACCCATACATGTATGTAAAACAGGTAAAAAATGTACAAAAGAAATATTTCTTTCAACAAATAAAGTAATTCATAATCCTATAGTATACTTGAAAACAAGGCAGTGCTTGCAACCACTGAAATGTGATTTCCAATCTTATCTGGGTATCCCATATACTTTGTTAATGTTTTAAGTTAAATAATATTTATGTGCAAGAAAGAAAACGGCAAAGCCCATGTATGCACATCAACAAATAACAATCGAAAAGTCTAAGTTCCATTACTCTGCTTTTTCAATAGATTTCATAATCTTAAAAGAAGAGTATCATAAAAGTTGCTCTATCATTTGATAGATTCAATTAATAACACATATGATACATCACTAGCCAATGCACGAATGAATGGCTACCTAAACTACACTCAGCAGCAGAACAACTCCCTCCACTATAGCATTCAAGAGAAGGAAGCACCGAAAATTGTCAAAACTGAAAAGATGCAAAACAATTTCATCACGGTCTTTCTATAAATGCCAACAAAGCGGGATCTACTTTATCTTTAGACAATAAGTTAACGACCAACTCCGTAGTTGATGCATTTGCAGAAAAACCTATCTCCACCATTTCTTGAATAAGCCTCACAGCCGTTGATGTCTCGTTGTTATTGATAAACCCTCGGATAATTGTGTTGTACGTGTAGCCATCCGGACAACAACCTTTCTCTTCCATTTCTCTAAGCAAGTTTTCAGCTTCACATATTAGCCCTCCATTACAAAACCACTAATCATTGTATTATACGTCCTGACATTAGGTTGAATTCCTTTTGATGGTAAGTATCGAAAGAGATCCCATGCATATTCAACTTTTTCAGCTTTGCACAATCCTTCAATAAGAATATTGTAAGTTACAATATGAAAATCCAACTTCATTCCCTCCATCTCTTCCAAAAGTTCAACTGCCATAGGAAGTTGCTGGTTTTTACAAAGGCCATCCAACAAAATATTACAAGTTCGAATATTTGGAAGTTGGCCACAATCTTGCATTTGAGAGAACAAGTTATGTGCATCTCGTATTTTTCCCATCTTGCAAAACCCATCCATAAGAGTATTATAAGTAATAGTATTTGGAACAACTCCTTTATGAGACATTTCCAGAAAAAGCATCCGGGCATCATTTATCTGTGTACACTTACAATGGCCATTTATCATTATGTTATAACCACGAGCATCAACCATGAAGGCCTTGCTAAGCATTACTTCAAAAACCTCTTTTGCCTCGTCCATTTCTCCTCGCAAAAAAAAATCCATCCTTAAGCAAATTGTACGTGATTGTACTAAGTTTGATATCTCTTTGAATCATCATCTCAACCACGCTCCTTGCTTCCCGGACCATCCCCCTTTGTAGAATGTATCAACCAAGACATTGAAGGTGTGCGCATTTGGAAAGATATGTTTCTCCACCATTTCATTCAACAATCTTATAGCTTCTTTCCACTTCCCTACTTTGCAAACTCTATGAATTAAAGAGGTATAGGTAATGACGTTGGGATCAATGCCCTTACCCGTCATTTCTTAAAAGAGGTTCAATGCATAAAAAACTAGAGTATCCTTGCAAAGACTGTCGATGATTGTGCTATAAACAACAACGTCAGGCTTGCAACCTCTTTCTTCCATCTTTCTAAGCAATTGGATTGTTGCACTATTGTTACCTTTCATGCAAAGACCCTTAACTAATGTGCCGAAAGAAACTACATTCGGCTTGCAATTACCACTCTACAACATTTTATTGAAAAGTGTTGTAGCCTCAACCTTTCTATTCTTAAGAAGAAAGTCATTAATTAGAGTGGTGTAGGCCGTGACATCTAGCTCAAAACCTAATTTGAAGAAGTTACCCAAGACTGACAAACTAAAGTCCACTTGGTTGAGATGACAAAAGCAATTAATGATAATGGCTAGGGTATAAACATCTGGACGAATTCCGGACACAACCATTTGGTTATCCATGGAGATGACTACCAAATAATGTTTCAACTTGGCAAGTTAAGTCAAGATTTGGTTGAAAGGGACAACAGAAGGCAGATGACGCCTTTGAAGCATTTCGTCGAACACATTGAGAGCATCCTCAATATTACTGATTTTCACAAGTTGGGGTTGTTGAGTGTTTCTAGATTTGGTTGATTTAGAAGCTCGAGAGTGAAACAAAGCCAAGTAATTGTTGAAGAAAACAACAACAGGAGAAGATTGAATAAGGCAAGGCAGCATACCTCTGGTGTTGCTGCTTCCATAACTAACCTTCAAAGAAGAAGAAAAAGCAGCAATCGTTGCCCGCATCATCTTCATCATCTCTAAGTCAGCGAGTTAAGAGTTGAGAGTTGCTCATTGTAAGATTGTTTGTGAGAGTTCAAGAGCATGAATTTCATGTTTTTTTTCTAATTGTTGGGGTTTCTTGTTTTTAGGTATGAAGTCGTGCATAATAATCTTTGGGCGAAAAAAACGAACCCAATCCAAGCCAAATCTTTAGGCTAAAAGCCAATGTCAAACCAAGGCCACATACCCCCCAAGAACTAGCCTAGAAACATGTGGACTCGCCCTTTCCCAGCCCATTCTTGGCCTGATCGCATGCCCAACTCACCCCAAGTGAGTTGAGGCTTTCAGCGCTCAACAGGGTGGGACCTACTGTCAGGGTCGCTGTCGGCAACCATCATGTGCCCAACGACTCTTTTTATCATCCGACGGTTGAGATTTTTGGACTGTTGGTTGATCCAACAATCCAGATTCAAATTTTGTTTTTTTTTTTAAAAAAAAAGATGTAATTTTAAAATATATTGAATCCAACGACTAAGATTAAATATAATCAAATCTAACGGAAAAAAAAAAGATTTAACTGCCCAAATTTAAATCCAACGGCTAAAATAATTAAAAAAATTTATTTACCTCAAAATTCACCCAAAAACTATATAAATACCTATGTATTTGTTCAAATATCTACACAAAACTCACTTTTCTCCTACAATTCTTCCAATTTTCTTTCTACCATTTCCAAATTGTTCAACATAGCAAGAGAGCATATTAGAGGTCATAATTGGACCTGTGAGGATGATGTTGCTTTATGCTTGGCATGAGTTTCTGTTAGCAAAAATGGTGCAGTTGGCACGAATCAAAATAAAAAGGTTTTATGGGATAAAATCATTGAAAAGTTCCATGAAAACTGCAAAGGCAGGAAGGAAGGTGGTGGTGTTTACGATCAATGGAAGACTATTAACAAAGCATGCACTTTATGGAAGGGAAGCTTGGAGAGAGCTGTGGTTGGCATGGCTAATGGAAAGAGCACTGCAGAAATTGTGAGTTTTTTTTTGTTGATATTTTATTTGTCATGTACATAATATTATTTTGCAACTAATTGTTTTTATGTATTTTTTGCATAGGGTGACAAAGCAATGGAAATTTACAAGACAAGAGTAATACCAAAAAATCAACCTTTTAAGTTGCAGCATGCTTAGGACGTCTTTAAGGATTGTTCGAGGTGGGCAATTGATGCGGACCAACAATGGGGAAGATTATTTCAATGTGAAGCAGCACAGAAAAATGATAAAGATGAAGGTGTCAATGAAATGACCCTAACTCCTTCTTTTGTAAGGGCAGCAAAGAGAAAAAGGAAGTCCCAAGATCCAATGAGTGGACACATTGATACCGGATTTGTAAGATTAAACGAAACCCATAGCGCCCGCCAAGAAGAAGCGGCACGAATATTTTTGTGAATGAAGGAAGAAGGGGATAGGAAGCAAGATAGGTTCGAAATTAATTTCATGATGGAGGACCTCAACAAATACACTCCAGTGAGGAAGAAGTTCTTACGTGGTAAGAAAAAGAAAATTTTGCAAAAGTATGCCACAAGGAGTATATTTCAAGATGATGAATCATCTCAACCCTATATCCCAAGTCCACCACCAAGTCAACATGGTGGATATCATTATTAAGTTCATGTAGTTTATGAATTATCGATTGTGTTAAGTTTATGTGGTTTATGTGTTTTATGAATTGTTGTTTGTATTAAGTTTATGTACTTTATTAATTGTCGTGTGTATTAAATTTATGGCTTATTAATTATTGTTTCTATTAATCTAGATGCCTTCAATAATTATTGTACTTATGCACATTTTGATGTACAATAGATGCCTTCAATAATTGAAACGACATTCAATAATTTTGATAACGTACTAGACAAAAGACTTTGCACAAGAAGACACTTCAATTTATTACAAGAAATACCAACATAGTACACTTACAATTATTACATAAAATAACAACATAGCACACTTAAATTTAACACAAGAGCACATTAATACACCAACATCATCAACGTTCACATTTTTGGCGCAATACTTGCTTAACCAAATCCTTGCAGAGTGTGTCATGACCTTGAGGAGCTTGAATTCTATTTAAATGTCTCATATAATCACTAACCATATCCTGTCAAGTCTCATATGTGGTTGCAGCGAGATATTCAACATCTCTTGCCATAGCTCTCGCATGTGTTAGTTGGTCATCATCCACATCTTCATTTGAATGTTCTTCAATTTCGATGTACTCATCTTTCACAATCATGTTATGCAAAATTATGCACGTTATCATGATTGAATGGAGGTCTTTGGTATGCCAAAGTAATGTAGCCCTCTAACAATTGCCCATTGAGCTTGTAAGATCCTGAATGCTCTTTCCACATCCTTCCTATAAGACTCTTGCCTCTTCGAAAATAATTCCTTCTTTGCATTATCGGGATGAGAAAAACTTTTGACAAAGGTAGACCAACTAAGATAAATACCATCAGTTATGTAGTAACCTAGCTCATACCTATTACCATTTACCTTGTACCGAAATTCTGGTGCCCATCCATTGACAACATAAAACAGAGCAGAAGACCAAAGAACGTTGATATCGTTGTTTGTTCCAGGAGTGTCGAAGAATGCATGCCAAATCCATGTGTCGTAAGATGCCACAACCTCAAGCACGATGGTTGGCTTGTTATGACGGCCCTTGAATTGGCCAGCCCAAGTAGTAGGACAATTCTTCCACTCCCAATGCATACAATCGAGACTTCTTATCATGATAGGGAAGCCTTTGTTGTCTGCCTTGCGTAGAAGCCTTTTCAAGTCTTCACAATTTGGCTTTACAGAGTTAAGGGCCCCATATATAGCTTCAATTGCCTTATAGAAGCACTTCAGGTTCTCAATAGCAGTAGTCTCCACAAGTCAACAATACTCGTCAGTTGAGTCTGTAGAACACCCATTAGCTAGCATCCGAAATGCAGATGTGAGCTTCTTATGAGGTAGTGGTCATGATTGACAACTACATTCAACATGCTTTCAAAAAGCTCTCTCCTCATCCCAAACCGCCTCTGAAAATCATAAGCAGGAAATCTTGGACGCTCGATGAAATAATATTTCATCATTCGGTCATGACACTCTTCTCTATCACGTTGCATAAATGAATGCCCTGTGACAGAACCACGATAGCTAGATTCGGCATAGTGCTCATATTGCATAAGCGAGTTTGCAAATTCAACTTCTGCGTTGATCATTTTTGTATCCTCAATGTCAAGGCTTGCTTGGTATTATGCCATTTGCATTGCCCTGCTACGCCTTCTTCTATCACCCATTGATGAGATATTGAGGATTTTTAGGAAACAAAAACACTTTGAAAGTTGAAAGATTGGTGAATATAGAGGATGATTGTGATCAACTGATATTCAACCTATGTTTATATAGAAGATGATTGAAGGTTTCAGTTTCATGTGTGTAAGTTTATGTTTCATGCGTTTCATGTGTTTTGTATGTATTTTGTATGTGTTTCATGTGTGTCATGTGTTTTACATGTGTTCTTTGTGTGATTCATCTCTATCATATGTTTTGAATGTAGTTTGTATGTGTTTTGTGTATGTCATGTGTTTCACATGTGTTTTGTGTGTGCTTCATCTCTATCATGTGTTTTGTATGTCCTACACATGTGTTTTGTATGTGTTTTATGTATTTTGTTTTTATACATCTCTATCATGATTTTCATATTCTTCCGTAGTGTTTCATGAGTTTCATGTATCGATTTAGTGATTTTTCAATATTTATCGGAATTTAAATATTTTTAGATTAAAATGTTCATAAAATTAATTTACGATAGTCTACATAATTTTTTTTTAAAAGTAAATTTAAGAAAATAAATTAGTCTTAAAGCAACATTTTTCAGGCTAAAAAAATTGGCTTTTAGCCCAACGGTTGGAAATGGTCTTAAGGGACAAGTTTATTTGTTTTGGACTTAGTCATGCACCACGATTCTAGGGTTGTAAAGTCATGGGGGTTGTTATTTTCCTTCTTGTTCTAATATAAGGCTATTTAATAGCCATATTTGTTCTTTAATTCTGTTGATGCAGAAAACTAGAGGTCTTGGAACAACGTAAATCCGACCGTGAATCTGCATGAAATGTAAATAACACAAGATGTATCGTGGTTCACCCCAAGGTTTGGGCTACGTCCACACTGATTATGTATTTATCTGAGAAGTGTGGGAGAAAGATTCAAAGCCTTTGAGGGAGAGAGTGAGGTCTCTGATGGCCTAGGAAATGGCCTCTGAATATGATAGGGGATGTGAGAGGGGTGAGAAGGCTTAAGCAATGGCCTCATCTATTATGAGGGTGAGGAGTCCTTTTATAGAATAAAGGCTCCTTACTTATTACATATTTGCCCCTTCCTTTATTACATAATTACATTTGAGTCCCCCGAGTATTTATACGAGATCTAAATACGGAGGCCCTAAGTATGGTATAAACAGTAGTCCCCCAAGTCTTCAGTCAAGAGAGTCTTTTGGCTAGAGACTTGAAATTCAGTCCATGTGTGGGCCGAAGTAACTAGATGTCGTCTTGAACTGGTACTTGATATGATGCGGTGCTCAAAGTGAAATGATGCTTAATTATAAGTAGCACATGTTGCGAGGCTGCTCGGCTTATGGCTTATGTTGCCGTGGTTGGTTCGGCTTGTAGCGCTTGAAGGTGAAGGGGTCCCTTTTATAGAATAAGGGCTCGCTCCTTAATACATAAATGATGGGCTAGAGTTGATGCTCGCGGTGAGGCGGTTGCTCAGTAGGCGGCGATGCTCTCTAATGGTGGTGAGGGAGTCCCTTTTATAGAATAAGGGCTCGCTCCTCAATACATAAGTGATGGGTTAGGAGTGATGCTCGCGGCGAAGCGATTGCTCAGCTGGCGGCGTTGCTCTCTAATGAAGGTGAGGGAGTCCCTTTTATAAAATAAGGGCTCGCTCCTCAGTACATGAATAATGGGTGTTCTCTAATGAAAGTGAGGGAGTCCCTTTTATAGAATAAGGGCTCGCTCCTCAACACATAAGTAATGGGCTAAGTACCCCAAGTATTTTGCATAAGGCCCAGTTGAGGCCCAATATATGGTACATAATGTAGTCCTCCAAGTCTTCGATCAATAGAGTCTGTTGGCTGGAGACTTCAAATTGAATCCATGTATGGGCCGAAGTGACGGTTGTTCGGAGGCGGTATTTGTATACCCTACACTGAAGTTTTGTAGGTGAAACTTTGTAAGTGAAACTTTGAAGCTAGAGCTCTGTAAATGAAGCTTTCGAAGCTGGAGCTTTTGTAAATGAAGCTTTTAAAGCTGATTGACATGAGTGATGCTCATGAATGTTTATGTTGATTGACATGAGTGATGCTCATGGATGTTGAATCATGAGTGATGCTCATGAATGTTAACATGAGTGATGCTCATGAATGTTGATATGAATGATGGTCATGATTGTTTATGTATGATTGTCATGAGTAATGCTCATGAATGTTTATGTATGAATGACATGAGTAATGCTCACATATAATTTGAAGTACTGGGTGTACTTTTGATCACCTGGTTGGTGGCATGAAGGAGAGTACGGGTTGTACATGTCATCACCTGGTTGGTGGCATGAATGGCTAGTTGCCAAATGATATTAAAGTACAGGTTGTACATTTCATCACCTGGTTGGTGGTAATAGCGGCAGGTTGCCGAATAATTTTGGAGTACTGGGCATACTTTTGATCACTTGGTTGGTGGTAATAGCAGCAGGTTACCGAATAATTTTGGAGTACTGGGCGTACTTTTGATCACCTGGTTGGTGGTAATAGCGGCAGGTTGACGAATAACTGTGGAGTACTAGGCGTACTTTTGATCACCTGGTTGGTGGTAATAGCGACAGGTTGCCGAATAATTTTGGAGTACTAGGTGTACTTTTGATCACCTAGTTGGTGGTAATTGTGGCAGGTTGCCAAATAACTGTGGAGTACTGGGCGTACTTTTGATCACCTGGTTTGTGCGATTTTGGGCTTATGGGCCTTCGCCCTCAACACAACATTCCAGCCCATTTATTTTAGGCTTTGCCGTTTTTTTTTAATTACCCTCTGATGGGGTTTATACAGATGTCTCCGAAAGATAGGAAAAATAAATTACATCATACATCTACCAAGAAAAGTAAATCACATCATTCTGGTGAGGTGTTTATTCCTTGCTTTTGCAGATTTGCATGCCTGCTATCCATAGCTTTTCTGTGGGTGGTCGACAAAATGAAGAAAGCACCAACTTGCTTCAGCTTTTAACTAAAGAAAGCATAATTCTTTCTTTTCTCTTTTCTTTTTTGCTTTCCTTTTACTTTGGTTTCTTTTCCCACTGCGCCTCTCTCTGTCTCTGCAGACTTGCTTTTCCTTTTCCTTTCCATTGCGTTTGATTTTTGCTTTTGCTTTCTCCAAACATCCGTTGCTTTTTCTTTTCATTTTAGTTGTTGATGGTGAAGGCTAACAATGTATGGCAGCACCAGCATGCACTGTCCCCATGGCTATTCATTACTTAGGCTGCCTATGAAGAATTGAGAAACAGCAGGATGTTCTTGAAGCTTCTGGAAGCTGTTTTGAAGACTGGAAACCGAATGAATGTTGGGACAAATCATGGTGATGCCCAAGCCTTCAAACTGGACACACTCCTTAAGCTGGTTGAGGTCAAGGGGGCAGATGGGAAAACCACACTCTTGCATTTTATCGTACAAGAAATCATAAGGACGGAAGGTGCTCGTCTCAATGGTGGCAATCAAACTTCAAACCCAACTTTGAGTGATGATGTCAAGTGCAGGAGGCTTGGCCTGCAAGTTGTTTCAGCTCTCAGTTCAGACCTTAGTAACGTGAAGAAAGCTGCTGTCATGGATTCTAATGTGCTTAGTAGTGATGTTTCCAAGCTTTCTAAAGGAATTAGCAACATCGCGGAGGTTGTGCAATTAAATGAGACGACGGTGTCAGATGACAGCAGCCAGAAATTCTCAGAGTCGATGAACATGTTCATGAAATTGGCTGAAAATGAGATTATAAGACTTCAAGCTCAAGAAAGTGTTGCATTGCTTTTTCTCTGCACTTTTGTTGCTTTTGTTTGTTTCCCATGTGCTCTCTTCTTTGATATTTCTGTCGGAGGGTCCCCTTCACCACCTTGGGTCCCGTCTCCATCTGCTCTAAATTCTAAGAGTGACAAAGTGTCAAGAAGTTGCACGTTATGCTGTCATTTTTTTTTCTTTTTCTTTCCACTGCATTTGGACACTAGCTGGTGTACTCCAACTGTAAAATCTGTGAGATATGGAGAGAACTGTATGGAGAAATGCCATAACTGAGAGATCTTAATCTGAATGCGGGGCCTCTATAAACAGAAGGACCAAGACCAGCTGATGGTTGAAGAATATGGGCCTGCAGCAGGATCGCATAGGCGTGCAGCAAAGCGACCTGTCTCTCTCAAAACCCATCAGCAATCGAATGGGCGTGTAGCAACATCGCATATATCTCATCCTTAAACCCTGAAACGACCGACACGGTGAAATCGTAGGTATACTTGTCGGGTTTAAGATTAGTATTCTTCCGCAAGTGGGTGTAGAGAGAAATCGCAGAGGAAGGCGCAGCATTGGCGGTAGAGCCTCGGATGACGACGTTGAAGAGGAAAAGGTCGGGTCTTTGGATGGAGAGAAAGAGGTCACGTGCGTTGCGCATGACCTTCAGGTCAGAGAACTTGTGGGTGAGCTTAGTGACGGTCGCCACTCTTGAACAACATTGGGCTCACCGCCCCAACCCTCGTCCTGTACGGCTTCACATCCACCATTGACCCATACCCACATGCTACGCCGTCACTGCCGTCGCCTTTGGGGCTGCCGTACCAGGTGGCGATGGCTAGGAGCCAGCGGGTGTTGGCCCCAGGTTGCTGAACTCTCAATTCATTTAAAAGTGATTCTGCTTTCTTCTGCAGCTCGGCCTTCAGTTTCGAAATGTCCTCTTAGGCTAAGCGAAGCTCATATTCACTAATTGTAGGCCCATTTTCTTCTACTGCTTCTTTCTCCTCTAGCAAACATTGAGGGTCTGTAACTCGGAAAGCCATGAAAATGTGTACTGGTCTGCTGAGTTTGCCTGGTAGAAATAAAGGTAACGATGGGTAGAGTGGTGGGGTTTCGAATTGAGAGGGTCTTAATGGCTTCTTTTGTTTGCCTGCCGTAGTAGAGAGAGAAAAAGCGTAGTAGA